GAACCCCCCCCCCCCCCCCAACCCAAAAAAAAAAAAGGAATGCGTCCTCTTTGATACAAGAAATAACATATTAATTTGGATTTCCAGAATACCAAAGGATAGTAAATGAAAAAGAATAAGGCCATTAATAACGACCATTACCATAACAGAAGGGCTAGCTAAACTCTCAAGCTAAAACTTATTATATCTATTTTTGGGAACTCCTTAATATCATTAGTAGCAGAGAAGAACATACAAGATCAGTAAAGCTGAACACGTTCGTCCAGTATACTAGTTTTCATTTTGTTAATCTCTCTTATGATGTGGTCAAATGCATCAACATAATTAAGTCTGATTGTGACTAAAGATTTCAATTTCTCTTTGTTTCATCAATTGCCACCTTGTGTACATAGAAAGCTTATCCTACATCGTGTGTGTGTGTGTGTGTGTGTGTGTGTGTGTGTGAGAGAGAGAGAGAGAGAGAGAGAGAGAGAGAGAGAGAGAGAGAGAGAGAGAGATACCATGTGAATCCCCGTTTCTAGTTTTTTTGCTGTGTCTCTTGTCTCAGCAAGTAACCGATCAGTTGAATTCATAATTTGCCTTATCCCAAGCCATACTTTGATACGCCCATCTGCTGTATTGTGGTGTTTCATAAACAGATCCTCCTGCAACTGCACACTTGAAATAACATTACATTCACATCTCTAGGCTACAACTTGTAGTACACGGTTAATTTTCAAATTAGCACCTTTGAAATAAATTTCAAGCAACATGACTTCAATACAAGAATCAAGAAAGGAATAAATTCCAGGAATGTTGGAAGGCAACGGAACCTGTTAATTAAATGCTTGAAGATCTGACCAAACACACTTCAAAAGTGAAACTTCAAACTTTAGTAAAGACCAAACATGAGAGATTGTGCAGTAAAAGTTGTGAAAACTATACAATATCTTCAACTGAAATTCAACACAAGGCTGGTTTATTTAGAACTTTTAGCCAACCTTAATACACTCCTCAGTAGTCCTAGCGGCCCATGAAGCTGGCAAACCTTCACCGCAATCCATAATAGACTCGGTCAAACACGCACGCAAGCCTAATACTTCAACTGCACTTGCCATTCCAGACAAATGCTGCCCTCCTGCTTCTGCAAAGCATGTCACCTGTTTCCAATAACAACCAAATATACTTATAATCCTGAAACAAACATAAACTGTTCGGATATAAGTTATTTGCACTAACAGTGTAAACTTTTTTACACTCTCATTGTAATTTTAACCTGTTATAACATGTAACTTGCCAATTTTTGTAGGTTATTATGCTTATCATTGGGAATTACCTGCAATTACCTTCTAAGTGACCCAATTTAGTAAATATTTATATGCAATGTGTATATAGTTTAGCCTATATGATTTCAATAGCACTTACACCAGAGTGAATAAGTTCGATTCCGCAGAGTAAAGTGGAAATGAAGGAATCTTGCTCAGTCATGTTGGACTCGTAAGGCCAAATGCGATCATGTAACCATGTCAACAAATCCACATCATCAGCTATTCCTCTCCCTAATTGCTGAGACGTATGAACATGAGTGTTTATGAACCCTGTCCAACATTTTCGTTAGTACCAAGCGCTATAATATGCTACTAGTAAACTAAAATATACGTCTAGCATTCATATCACTTTCTATAATTTAAATAAAGGTTATGTCCAGCTTAATCGTAGGCCAATAGACCCACCGAAGATTATAATGGAGCAAAATATCTAATTTTGCACTCATTTTTAACTTCATTTTGCAATTGTTTAAATAATATTTGCTCCTAGAGAGTAAGGCAAATCACAATTTCCTATATACCATATACCTGGGAGGAGAATTTGTCCGCTGAGGTCGAGTATTTGAGGAGAGAGAGAAGAAAATTGGGGGAGAATTTCGGCGGATTTGCCGGCGGCTATGATTGAGTTGTTTTGTATAGCAATTGCGCCATCTTGGTAAACGCGGCTTTGAGAATCCATGGTCACGATCATAGCATTGTGGAGTAGGAGAATTGAGCTCTTATTCTCGTTTCTTGGTTCCATCACTTGCTCCAATTCTAAACGTTCAACTTCAGACTACAACTGATAAATAACAGTTAGCAAATACCTCCACAATTGTACTTTAAATGATAAATTCCCCTCGGATTTGGAAAAATGAATATTCTACCACATGTTTATCTCCAAGTAACTTATCACAGTATTCACCCTCTTACAACTATTATTAAAGATGCAAATATCTATTGAAAATGTTAAAAAAAAATTTAGCAAATGAAGAACATAAATATGATTATTTATTTTTTTAATCTGAAAAGATACACTCAAGGATATAAAGTTTTTATTCCTGACGAACATAACCCTTGACATTTCAATTCCTACTCTATGCATAATTTTTTTATTATATTATATAAGAGAAATTTATCTTTAGCTACGTGTTTTACCAATTTAAATATCTTATTGTAAAATTTTATTATTAAAGCTCAATAAAATTTAACTAGAATAGTACTTTTATGAATGTTAAAGAAATTTTATAGTTACCTTTTTATTGTTAATCTAATATTAAGTATATATTTAAGTTTTACTTTCTCTTTATATCTATACCTATATCTATATCTATATTTATATTTATATTATTATAAAAGCACGAATAATTTATGCTAAATGTTGAACGACTAAAATATCCCTGAAACATTGATCGACTTTTATGCCCTTAAATATTTGTATAATTTAAGGATCTAATAGTAAATTATCTAATAATAAAATTCTTTTTCAATTTAAGCTACACATATTATCTACCCTACAACGTCGATCCTACTTGAATAAGAAAAGCATATCCATAATTTTCTATCAAAAAAAATTGTTGTTCCTAATTACAATTCTCTATAACAAACAAGGAAACAAGGCACGTACTAAATGAAAAATTTAGTACCATGCTCTAAAAACATTATAGCATTTTAACAAATTTTGTTACTCTCCTTTAAAGTCAATTTTTATTAGTTCATATAAAGCTAAAACTAAATTATATCATATATTATGTGTTCCCAAGTATGAGGAGTTATTACATAATAAATTGAGTTAATTTTTACAATATTAAATAATAAAAATATAATTAAATTATAATCTTTTAAAATATAACATCTACTTTTAAATGATAAAAAAATATAGGGGCAAATTTATATGAATATTTTTCTTTTACCTGATAACAAGGTGGTTCTAATAATACAAATGAGATTGTTCTCTTTAATTTATTTATTTTTACTTCAGTATGAGTAATTGATTCCTTTACAAATTTCTCAAAGAAAATCGATGGATATATGTTAGATTAGGTTTCCTAGAACAAGTTCGTTCAAGACTTCTATATATCGAACTTTAACAAATTTTTGCTTTGATTGGTTTATTTTCATTAGATGCTCATGTGCCATTAATTGTCTCCAATTCAATGTTACATCAATTTATATTCAAATAAAAAGTAAAATATTTAGAATATTATTATTAATGTATATGTGTGATGATTGGCTAAAAACAGTTGAAAGTAAGTGAAACACAATGATTGGATCGGCATTGTTACAAAAGCAAAAATATATTACGATGTTCATATAGAATGTGANTATCTATCTTTTTCATATATATCTTATTCTAGATGATAAATATTTTTTTTTATAAAATAAATGTTTGTACTATTTAAGGTACTGATTTATTGAGGAATATTTTAGAGTATTATAGTAACATAATTTTTTTTAAATGTATCTATTCTTTATGTCCACATAATTCTTAGTTATTCTCGATAATACATATATAAATAGTGGAGATTTATCCAAAAATATTAGAATTGTTTTAACTCAAATGATTGAAATGAGTTTCAAAATTATCCTATACTTCTTCGTAATTTTCGATAATATTTTCAATTAAAAAGGTACGAACTCGAAGCAACTATGTGATTCATGTGATAAATCATGTATTTTATTATTTTTACATATGTTCAAAAAATTGTGAAAAAACTTCTCAACAATGTTACGTTATATGTTTAAAAAAAATCATATTAATAGGTGTCTCATGTAATTGTTTTTCTTGCATGATTGTGACTATTATTTTTATTATATTTTACGGAGCAAGGTGAGCATTTTGAGTGAAAAATGTACAAAAATCAAAATCCCTTGTAATTTATTAAATAACCATGGAGTATACAATGCTTAAATCCAAGACAAAATACAAAAATAATCGCTTTGTCAAAATAATTATATTAGTTAGTCAAATAGTATATAAAATATGTATACTCTATATATAATTCACATATATACCAAAAAAATATTTATATGCTATTATTTTTAGAATCAATTAAAAATATATACTTCTCTAAAATCTTTAATCATGGACTTGATTTATCATAACATTTGTACTTTGAATACGATAAAGCAACAATGATTATTTCATCTTGTAAATAATTTGTTACTAAATTTAGTTAGTTGTTCTTTCATATCAAATTTTTTAAAGATTCACGTGCAACGCACATACATAGTAACTAGTTATTATAAAAGCATGAATACAATGTCGGTTTACAAAAATAACCTTATAATATTAAGTATAATAACTATAATAAAAGGATAAAATTAGAATTCTGGATATTAGCCTTATAATCTTATTAGTTTTAGGACATAATACTACAAGTTAGGAATACTACATGATTACCCTTAGGGATCCTATTAGTATAATTACTTTCCTCCTGTCTAATTCATACAAAATTGAACAAGTAAATATCTTTAGTCATGTAATCATATTACATTTAAGATATACTCCTTAAAAATTCCTATTACTAATTTAATTTGAAAATATATTATAATGTCCCATTACTAATTTAATTTGAGAATGTATTATATTGTCCAAATCCATTTAGAAAAAAGGAGATCCTATATTATTATAAAAGAATAAATACAAAATTAGTTATACCAAAATAACCCTAAAGTATTAAACGGAAAAACTCATAGGGCGGAAAGGGCATAACTGCAATAACCTATTTTTTGGACTACAATACCTTCTATGCTAATTTCTAATATTTAAGATTTTAAAATTAATAAAATTTTGTCTATTAAATTCTTATTAAAAATATGTAGAAAGGTTTAATAAAATCAATTTCATTAGAATCATCCGCATTGGCAAAACGTTACCACTCCATAACATCCAATACGAAGAAAAATAAAAGTAATATTAAATGGACTAGAGTTGAAATTGAGAAAAAAATACCCCCACAATAATATATTTTTATATTATATTTCAACTATTTTCCTACTCATTAATATTTTTTTATCAATTTTTCGTGTAATATTGAAAAATACCCAATTATTAAACACAACTAAGAAATATTTAAGAATATAAATGTGCGAGAAAGAGAAAAAATAGTTGGTAAGAGTCGATACCACTAATGATTCTACAAACATAAAGATCTAAAAGTGAAGTGTCATTCAATCTTTAACTCTTTGAAAATAAAATTTTATGGTGGATAAAATTATAATTAAGATTAAACATTCAAAACAAGAGATGAACTAATATTAAGATCTGAATCAACATAGAATAAATTAGTTTTTATGCTAAAATAAAATAATTAAATCTTTTAATTAATTATTTAGCAAGAGATCCAATTCAATTATTTTTTAAATGCATCATATGAGTAAAATTCTTATTTCAAGGTAAAAAAATAATCTCAGGGTACATAAATTTATTCCATAAAAAAGCGTTAGAACACAAAGTAAAAAGCTTAGTATATTATTAAGAATCAAAATGCTATACAAGTGTTGAGGAGGCATAATCAAAGCTAAATCCTAAACAAGAACAAGCTTTCAATACTATATTATAAAGAGTCGACTTTGGTATAACGGGATTATTCTTTGTAGGTGCCTCCGGCGGAATCGGAATAATATTTCTTTGTCATGCATTACTTGCAAATATTACATCAAGAGGCTTGACACTGCTAGCAATAATAGCAAGTGGTATACCAACAACGATTTTATTGTGAGGCCACCCGCTTTAGATTTGATATAACTGTTCAGACAAATTAAATAACCATCACAAATATATAAAGCAGAGCAATGGTGCTAAATTTATAAGGAAAGCAAATTTGATAATATGGGATGAAGCACTTATGGCTAAGTGTGAAACGATCGAAATAATTGCTCGGAGTTCTAGAGATACACTGGATATTAATGAACCGTTTGGTAAAAAATTAATGGTTTGGGAGGTGATTTCAGTCAAGTACTACCAGTGGTTCCAAAATCGACAAAAGCAGAGACTGTAAAAGCTAGCTTGCCAAAGTTATATTTCTGGCCGAAAACGAAAAAGATTCAACTGACAAGAAATATAAAGTAAAAACCGATTCAGTATTCAGTGTCTTCTTGCTTCGCGTCGGAAACGAAGAAGAGTATCTAATAAAAGATGATTTGGCTCTTTCTGAATATTGGGTTATCAATTCCAATGGTAATAGTAGTGCATTTAATAAGAGAAATATTTCTATTATTAGATTAAAACGTATTTAGTTCAAATCGCATGATAGAATTAAAAAGATATCTTAGCTAGCAGAAATGAATATATTGATCAACTAAATAAAAGGTTGATTGCAAAACTTTATAGTAAAATAAAATATTTTCAGTTTTTGACTCAATAGAAAATGATACCAATAAGTACTACCAAGAAGAATACTTAAATACTTTAATACCAAATGGCCTTCTACCATACATTTTTGTTGTCAAGTTTCTTATTTCTTACGTATGTTAGTGTCACCGTATATATAATAGTTAAATTGATCTTCCAATGTATATAGTTTAATTTTAAAGAAAAATATGCATGTCATGCTACTGCAAAATTTAGATACGCCGAATAACTTATGTAATAGCACACATATGGTATATAGAAGTTTTGACAATAACGTCATACTTGCAAAAATTATGATACCGGTCAATGTGCTTCTAAGTATATTCTTATCCCTGAATTCAACTTTTGTCTTCCGAAACTAAGGAATATCCTTTTAAATTTGTGTGAAAATAATTTTTAGTATGTTTATATTTTGTAAATATAATAAATAAAGTGCAAGGAAAAACATCCTAAATATTGGACTATATTTAACGCAATATGTTTTCTTGCACGGACAACTGTATGTTGCACTTTCAAAAGGGATATCAAGATCGACAACAAGAGTTATGGTTAAGGCAGAGCAACCAATGCATTAGGAGGAAACG